TTTAGACTTTATTACTGCTTAATGTATTAATACTTTGTATTTATTAGGGTAGTAAATGATATGGGGCCAAAGTGTCAGGCACATATTCCTGTCATAAAACCTTTACGCAAACCTTTCTCCGCATATATATGCGGAGAAAGGTTTGCGTAAAGGTTTTATGACAGGAATATGTGCCTGACACTTTGGCCCCATATCATTTACTACCCTAATAATATATATTTAGGGTAGTAATATATCTATATTACTTTGATAGGTTATGCGCATATATATATATATATATATATATATACATACATACACACACACACACATATATATATATATATATATATATATATATATATATATATATATATATATATATATATATATATATATATATATATATATATATATATATATATATATATATATATATATATATATATATATATATATATATATATATATATATATATATGCGCGCATAAGGCTTAGGTTTGCGTTAACCTTTTGTCGAGAACTTTTCATAACCTTTAGAGCTTTAGCGTCATATCATTTTGTAAAGGTTTTCCACGGTATATCAAAGAAGGGTTTCACCGATCAATATTGTTATATCATTCTCCGAATCCTTGTTTCTTATAATGTGTTGATATTGTTGTTGGTGTTAGATTATCATCTCTGAAATAGGACCAACACTCCATATATCATATAACATTCATGTCTATGCCTACTTGATTTTTTCATTCCAAGTAACGATGATATATACTACTTTTTCATTTGATCAGTTTAGGTATATAGATAGTATTCTCGAATGTACGTAACTTATCAAATACTTAAATATAATCTTTCTAACTGTCTCATTTATTAATTTCTTTGTTGTGTTACATTCATATATAGATGACGAAATTCGTTAACTTTAATTATAATTTATTATAAGAAAAATAAACATTCACATGTTCTTAAAGGCCTACTATGTCTATATTGTCTCGGGTCCATAAAATGTCAGGACCGGGCCTGATCGCAAGCTACATCTAAGTTCATCGCCGTTCATCATCGTCAGATAGGTCGTCACCCATCATCACCGGAACCCTAAACACACACAAATGCCAAAAAATCAATTCCCCAACAATCACGGCCATGGAGAACTACTCCTACCCTTCCTATTCGGATTCCAGCGACTCCTCCCCTATTCCCCCTATTCCCGTGAAATCTTGTTCAATATCCTCCCTGGGATGATCCTAATAAGCCCCTTCCTCCCAATTTCAATGTCAAGTTCAATATCCTCCCAGCTTTACGTTACTTGCTCTGCTATTGAGCTATTATCAGAACTTATTGTCTGTTTAATGACTACTTATTGTCTATGTATTGTCTGCTATTGATCTATTATCAAAACTTATTGTCTGTTTACTGGCTACTTACTGTCTGTGTATTGTCTAGTGTTTTCAAGTTTCCAATGAACACTGTTATTGATCCAGTGATCCACTGCTGCCTCGGGATGCACTTGATATTTGCTGAGCAACATTTGCGATTTGGTTGAGCAAGCATCGACTTCTCTACACTGATCTGGTTTCTTCAAAAGTTTTGCAGAGTACCTGGTGGCCTTGTGCGTTAATGCATCTTTAGAATCGCTTACTCCTAGATGTCTTTTTCCGTTTAATCTTTCTGCAATTTGTTATGTTGAGAAGGTGAGGCCTTGCGTTTCAAAGGAAATCCGATCCAAATGGATATGTGGTCTGCTACGGAATTTAAAAGCAAAGGCAATTTGGTCAAAGCAGGTGCACTTAAGTCTTACGCTAATCTGTAGTCTTAATTCTGGAAAATTAATATGATTAGGTCCTATATGTAAAATTTTCCCTATAATAAATTCATACGAAGTCATTATTACAATTTAAAAATGCCATTAAATGTAAAAGGGAAATTGTCCAAAATAGGAGCAAATGAGATTTGGAATTCCAAAATAGGACTAGTATGTTTTTCTTCCCAAAATAGGAGTTGTTACTGTCATGTATGAAAAATACTGTCATGATTGAAAAATATTGTCATTAATTATAATAAATATTGTCATGTTAAATGCATTGTACTGTAACTATTTGACAGTTACGCCTACAAAATGACAGTAAATACTGCCATGTTAGTCCCATTTTGAGAATAAAAACATAGTAGTCTTATTTTTAAATTTCAAACTTTATTTACTCCAATTTTGAGAAATCTCCCTAATAAAATGACGGAATAATTTTGATTGTACCTTATAATTTGGCTTATTGAGGTCGTACAAGACTCGCCAGGTAACTAAGTTAACAGAAGTACAAATACATTGAATTTTAATAACAAGCCGATTTGATAATGATTGTGTTTACAGCCATTTTAACATAGAGGATAATTGCCTCCTTAATCTATGGAGAATTGAATTAGTGTCTACTTTTGTGATAAACTTCATCTTATCAATTTAACGGGGCCACGCCAATATTGACATTTCTTTAGCAGGGAAAAACAGGTCTCCATGTTTATTTCTCTACATTATTCATTTTTTAAGTTTTTAGGAACACGTATAACACTCCGAATTATTTTTGTGAACTTTTTTCTTTTTTGTAAAATTAAAGTTGGAGCTTCTTGTACTTTTTTGTGCACTTTTCTCACACATTATAGTATTTGTTCTGTTAAATTCAAACATCTTTGACTCGGATTGAATTTCGAACTTGTAAGCTCTTCTTTGGGAGTGCCACAATCCACAATGATGCATTAAACCACAAGGTGCTTGGTTGTAGTACTTTTGTTATTCATCATCAACATAGTGATCATATTTAGGCACCGTTTACAAACGCTTAAAAAAGTGCTTCCCAGATTTTTGACTTAAAAAAAACTAAAAAACAGTGTTTTCAAGTGACAACTTATATTTAAATTAATACTTAAAAGCTAACAATTAGAATCTGCCTTTTACTTTTTCTATTACACAAAAAGCACTTATTTTACCAAACACTACAAACTTTTACTTTTCAAAATCGATTTCTTTTAAACACTATCAACTTTTACTATTAAGCACCTTTTCCAAAATCACTTAAAAACGATTTTTTTAAAGCACAAGCAATTGCAAACACTTTCTTAACGCAATAACAATTCTACAAATACAATCATATAATATATTCACATTATAATTCTACCAATGTAAAGAATAAAAAAAATTGGTGTGCATGTCTCACAAGCTATTGAGCATATATTGATTTACCTAAATTTTGTAGTTACAATAAACTCCTCCAAGTTGACATAATATATACTCCGTATTTCATTGAGATATAAAAAAAATATAATACGGAGTACTCCCTAGTAAACAATAATCGGGTAGTTCTTTAAAAAAAATAGAAATTACCCAATATAGGAGTAAATATAAACATAATTGCACAAATAGGAGTAAAATTTAAAATTTCTTTCAATAGGAGTAAACATTAATTTTGTACCCTTAATATCCCTAACCTAGTTAATTCTAAAATATGACTTATTTAATCCTAACCTAGTTAATTTATGACTTATTCGATAATACTAATTTATTTATTTATTTATTTTTCAAAAAATAAAAAAATATTAAAAAAAATTAAAAAAAAAATTCAAAAAAATAAAATAAAATTCACCGCCGCCCCCACCGCCTCAGCACCACCACCTCCAGTCACCGGGGAAAAAAATGCCAAGTTCATTACGAATGCATATTTATGGCAGAAAACAATGAAAATGTTGGCATTCGCAAAGAGAAATATGCCATGTTTTTGGCATTTTCAGAAAAAATGCAGTTTTTAGGGAAAATGAAATTTTTTTTCATCGCCCGGAGGTGGTGGTGCAGGGAGGTAGTACAAGCGGTGGGAAAGGCATCCATATTTTTTTAATTTTTTATGGAGTTTTACTATTTTTTATTATTTTTTTTTAAAAAATAAAAAAATTTAAAAAATATTTTTTAATTTTTTTATTTTATTAATATTTTATAAAATTTTTAATTATTTTTCTACGATTTTTTGATTTTTTTTCGAATTTATTATGAATTAAACATTTAATTAAAAGTTGTTGGGGCTTGGGTAGGGGTATACTTGTCCAAACACTGAAATTACTCCTATTCAAAACATGGTACTCCTATTTTTGCATTTTTCCTATGTTTTGCTTCTATTTGGGGAATTCTTTCAAAGTAGAAAATAGATGGAAATAGTGTGAAAACGTAATACTAGAATAAAAGAAATTTGAAAAAGTGTACGAACATGAAAAAATGGGTAAAAAAACAACCCAAGCTAGTAATGTGTTAAAAATATGTAATAAAAATGGTGTAAGAATATGAAAAATGGGTTAAAATTAAAAGACTATGTAAGTTATTAAAATGGATTAAAATAAGTAATACTCCTTCCGTCCCGCTAACAATGAGATAAGAGAGAGTGATATGTAAATCAATAAAAAATGGTTTATGTGCTTGATATTGAATTGATAAAGTAAGAATAAAGTAAGAATGATTTATAGCCACACAAACTTTGCCAAATTTGGTACGATACAATCTTAGTGAGATGAACGATAAGATAAAATGGAACAATTATAGCAGGGCAGAGGTAGTACTACGTAAAAGCGTAAGAATACGAAAAAGATTGAAAAATAAGTAATAAAAATGGGTTAAAAATGTGACCTTCTAGGCTTCTATTTCTTCGGAACAATAATATAATAATAATAAAGGAAAGTTATCGAAATAGGACTAAAAGAGTTTCAAAATTTCAAAATAGGGCTGTCATGTTTTTTATTCCCAAAACAGGACTAATTACTGACATGTTTAGAAAATACTGCCATGTTTAAAGTTTGGTACTGCCAAAACATGAAAGTAATTAGTCCTATTTTGAGAATAAAAAGATGATAGTCCTACTTTAGAATTTTCAAACTGTTTTAGTCCTATTTCGGATAATATCTCTAATAATAATAATAATTTTAACCATGGTAAATAGTTTTAATTTTAGACCGTACTACGTAGTAAATATCATGAGAGCAACTATAAATGGTGGGAGCAGTTCTGGTGGGATTCAATCTCCCATTCTTATATGGTTATAAATTTATTTTCATAATTTACGCGATCACGATCTCTTTATTTCATTCTGCTACACTCCTCAGTTGACGGAAAAATATACCTTCTCCTTCTTCACCGGAGAATTTCATCGATGCGAAGCCTAAATAGAGCTTGACCCCCTGCCTTTTTGTAACGAACAAACTGCAATTTTGTTTGCTCGTGAATGGATAAAGAGGAAGTTGATATAGAGGATGCCGCGGCGGCCAATTCCGAGAACCACGACGGCCGGGTTGAGGATTATGATGACGCCGCCGCGGGGACTATCCGAGAACCGCTGCTTCATTACAATAACAGAGTCAACAACACCTCGCAGATTGCCATAATCGGAGCCAACACATGCCCAATCGAAAGTCTCGATTACGAGTATGTCTGTTTTCTGTTTTTCGTACAACACTTGCTACTCATTCATTATTTATTCCCACAACATTATACGGAGTAGATCGTTTCTTGTATAAAAGCAGGCCAGTAAGCAATTTTGTTTTATATGGAAGAAGACGAAATCATGAAAGTTATGTGATAGGAGTAGGGTGATGGATTATATTTGTAGTTAGACAGAAGCTGTTGCATCTTTTAGGATTTTTTTTACCAAGCTCTTCGTTTTTACTTTTCTTGTTTCTGCTCTGGATCACTTAGGTTGCAAATCAGCTCAGATCTATCTGCTGAATGGGGCTTTCTTTTAGTCTGACTTTGCTTGCCCCCAAATGTAGTGTTTTGATCAGCTTATTGGATTTGGTCCATTTGGATTATTTTTTTATATGCAACGTAATTCATGTCTTGGAATGCAATCACTCCACAGTGTATACATGGCTTTTCTCTGCAGCAGGGTATCCATCTGTCAAATTCAAAATTTAATCTTTTTCATCAATCTGCAGGATTCTTGAAAACGACTTGATTAAGCAGGATTGGAGGTCAAGGAAGAAGGTTCAGATATTCCAATACATATTTCTCAAATGGACATTTGCATTTCTCATTGGATTACTTACAGGGCTTGTTGCTTTTTTCAATAACCTCGCAGTCGAGAATATTGCTGGGTTCAAACTTGTACTTAGCAATGACTTAATGCTCAAGGGAAAGTAAGCTTAGTTCCATTTAAACTTAATTTTTGAAGTTATTTTTCATCATTTCATTTGCAACTGGCCAACAATAATTAAGCAGATCAAAGTGTGTCAATTGACTCTTTAACCTGCGAGTTATGTGGTTGGTATTTTTCTGGAGAGGCTTTAGGAGCCCAATATTAAGGATCTACAGATTAGTGCTCTTCACCTGCCAGGCTATACTTTGTATTTTACTCGCCCTGTGAAGAATATTTTTAGAAAGAGGGAGTGCAAGGTTTCGTATGCACGGTTTCAGAAGAGTCTAAGCCCAAAAAAACTTGTTGGTCATTTCATACTTTTGCTATGGTGAAATACCATAAAAAGATCCAGTTATCTACTTTTTCATCACATCTCAAAGTATATAAGGAATAATTTTCTTAGTGCAGGTATTTTCGGGCTTTTGCTGCATTGTCCGGTTGCAATCTTGTTCTAGCCGTTTGTGCTGCATCCCTGTGCGCGTTTATTTCACCTGCTGCTGCTGGATCTGGTATTCCTGAAGTTAAAGCATATCTCAATGGTGTCGATGCTCATTCTATTTTGGCTCCTAGTACCCTTCTTGTCAAGGTTAGTTAAATACTTAAATGCCTTATTCTGTATGCGTATTTTCACTCTTAAAACCCTGCATTAAAAATCTATGCTATGCTATATGGTTAAAATAAAACAATGGATGACTTTGGGGTTGTGTTAGTGTGTCAAACAAATGAATTTGAAATTGGCAGATTTTTGGTTCCATCTTTGGTGTTGCTGCTGGATTTGTCGTGGGAAAAGAAGGACCCATGGTTCATACGGGTGCTTGCATTGCAAACTTACTTGGACAGGGAGGTTCTCGCAAGTATCATTTGACCTGGAAATGGCTAAGGCTCTTCAAAAACGACAGGGACCGCAGGGATTTAATCACATGTGGAGCTGCTGCTGGTGTGGCAGGTGCCTTCCGTGCCCCAGTTGGAGGTGTCCTTTTTGCCCTTGAAGAAGCTGCCTCGTGGTACCTCTCTCTCACGCACACACTCTCTCACTCAGGGCTACATTTTAATTGATATTCTGACTATTTTCTATTCCATAACCATGACAAAGAACCAAACAGTCAGTCTGTCCATTTGTTGGGCATATGAAGTTAAGAAAAGTGGTGCTAAACAAAGTCCGGCCACTAAGATCTGTTTGTTTACATGGAAAAATGCTCTCTGATTTTCATGTGTTTGGCAGAGGAATACATTTCTAGAAACTATGTAGCACAGATACTTCAATGAGGTGTCATATCCTGGTCTCGGAAACATTTCCATAACGGATACTCTCGAGTACTCATACAGTACGTATCTGAAGTTTCTCAAAAGTTTCATGACGCACTTGTAAATTGTTCAAAAAACGGATAAGCCTATCGCAGATAGATATACGAATCAAGCGTTGTTCTAAACATAACTCTATTGATGGATATATTTTAAGTTTTACATATTAGACAAAAAATCAAGATAACTAGCGAAAGAATAATTATCAAATTCAATACAAACATAAGAATTCATTAACAAAATTGCAGTATTGCACATAACTTCTATAACTATTTGAATTTATTCACAATTAACGAAAATTTAATTTATATGTTTTTCTCTTAAAAATCCTATATTTGCAAATACTCTGTAGTTCTTTATAACTCTTATATACACAAATACATATGTTTACCTTTATCCTATACTTTTTTAGATTGCCCTAGTCCAATCCGTGTGTCCTACGTTTTTGCATACCTGTATCCGTGCTACATAAGTAGAAAACATTATCTCTTGCTTATACTTTTTCTGGAGAAAGACTTCCTATTGTTAAACTGGGAGTTATTTTCATGAAACTGTTTTATATTTTCCATTGGTCAGACATCACATTATATATAGACATCTTATTTTTCTTGAAGACATTTTCTTGGAAATCATTGTTTGCGGAAAATATTTTTCACCAATAAGGTATTTTCATGGGAACATGCATAACCTTAGAATCTTTCTTGTACCAATAAAGGATGTACCAATACATCCTTAAATAGATCTTTGTCACTTTTCAACTTTAGGTGGCGGAGTGCACTTCTATGGAGGACATTTTTCACAACTGCTGTAGTGGCTGTGGTCCTGAGATCCTTTATGCAATTTTGCCGGTCTGGGAAGTGTGGACTATTTGGGCAAGGGGGTCTAATCATGTTTGATACTAGTTCAACAGTGCCTAATTATAACACCACAGATCTTCTGGCAGTTATATTAATTGGAGTCCTGGGTGGTCTTTTAGGGAGCTTATACAACTATCTTGTGGACAAGGTTCTTCGACTATACAGCATCATCAATGAGTATACCTTTTATTCCTGTCCGATGTTTCATTACTATCCTCTGTTTGTTTTCCCGTTGTTGATTTTTTACACTATTTTGCAGAAAAGGTCCAGGTTTCAAGATATTGCTTGTCATGACAATTTCCATCCTGACTTCTTGTTGTTCCTTTGGAATCCCTTGGTTGGCAAAGTGCAGACCTTGTCCTCCAGGGTCAGAGGGTGTCTGTCCTACCAAAGGTCAAACAGGGAACTACAAGAATTTCCAGTGTCCACCTGGGCAGTACAATAACCTCGCTTCCCTCTTTCTAAACACCAACGACGATGCCATACGCAATTTGTTCAGCCCACGTGATGAGGATGAGTTTTTCATCTCAACTCTTTTTATCTTTTTCGCCGTAGTTTACTTCCTCGGGATTGTCACTTATGGAATTGCCATTCCGTCTGGACTATTCATTCCTGTCATCCTAGCTGGCGCCTCATATGGTCGAATTGTTGGGACCTTCTTGAGCTCTGTCTCCAATCTAGGCACCAGTCTCTTTGCACTTCTCGGTTCTGCCTCCTTTCTCGGTGGGACCATGAGGATGACAGTGTCACTATGCGTCATTCTCCTTGAACTGACTAATGATCTCTTAATGCTCCCCCTAATGATGCTAGTTCTGCTCATATCAAAAACAGTGGCTGATTGTTTTAACAAAGGGGTGTATGACCAAATTGTGACGATGAAGGGCTTGCCTTTCATGGAAGCTCACGCGGAACCATACATGAAACATTTGGTTGCCGGAGATGTTTGCTCCGGACCGTTAATAACCTTTTCCGGTGTCGAGAAAGTGGGAAACATCTTACATGCTTTAACGTTAACCAAGCACAACGGTTTTCCGGTGATTGACGAGCCGCCGTTCTCAGAAACTCCAGAACTATGTGGGCTTGTTCTTAGATCACATCTGCTGGTTCTGTTAAACGGGAAGAAGTTTTCCAAACAGCAGGTGTTGATGGGGTCGCAGATTTTGAAAAGGTTTCATGTGTTTGATTATGCAAAGCCGGGTTTAGGGAAGGGACTCAAAGTTGAGGACTTGGATATTGCAGAGGAGGAGTTGGAGATGTATGTTGATCTTCATCCCATCACGAATACGTCTCCGTATACCGTGGTAGAAACAATGTCTTTGGCCAAAGCCGCAATTCTCTTCAGGGAACTCGGTCTGCGACACTTGTGTGTTGTCCCAAAGCGACTTGGGGTATGTTGAGATATGACAACTCTCCATTTGGTAGCTTTAGTTAACCTGTTCTCTTTATCAGCAGAATAAGTAGATTTTGACTTACTTATTTGGCTGAAATCAATTTCACCAATTTTTTTAATAGCACAACATTTTAGCCAAATAATATCAAAATGTAACTCATACATTTAACTAAAATGCATCACATTAATATCTTCCATTTCTCTATAGTTAACATATGGTTGCTTTGTGTGTACTCTTGCAGAGACCACCAATAGTTGGAATCTTGACTCGTCATGATTTCATGCCGGAGCATATATTGGGACTCTACCCTCACATGGATCCGCACTAATCGGCAATCGCTCCCCGGATAAGAGAGTCTCTGCATTAGCAAAAAACCAGTTGTCATTCTTAAGCATGATTCTTCTTAAACTTCAGCAATATGATCAACTGAATTATGTATCATTTTTCGGGTATTTATTTATTTATTAATAAAACTGTGTTTGTGTAACCACATTGTGTTACATCTAACATAAAATAATGTCTGTAAATAGAATCTAGTCAATCCTGAGCACTTTATTCGGACGATATGTAATGTAAAAAGAAGGTATGCTACTCCATAACTCAATGAGAAATCCAAAGAGGGTGAACATACATGCTAATAATTATTTTCAACTCATATCTCAGATATAATAATAGTAATAATGAGGGTGAATTTACTTATTTACCCATCATCTGCCAGGGCATAATAAATGGTGTCTCGAACCAATAGGATTTATTAGATGATAAGATGAAGACCATATCTCGTCGTCCATATGGATAGGGATCTGGGAAGTAGTTGAAGGTTCAACCTATCTGGAGCTCCTTAAATTTTCAAGGCTTTGGTCAATATCCACTTGGAAGGGAATAGGGTTGCACATGTGAAAATAAATAAATAAATTTAACGTGAAGTGACTACGTGAGGGTTGAGACTTTGGCTTTAGAAGAGAGGACCTCTGAGTTCAAACTTGAAGCTTGAGCTTTAGGAAATGAAAAATTCTATTTGTAGACATAATAATTGAGTAAATTGCACTAAATCCCCCTCCGTTATATAAAGAGTTAATTATCAAAATAGGACTAAAAGTCATTCATTTTTCACAAATAGGACCAAAAAATAAACTATGTTTGCATAGAACTAATTATGTGTACCTTGGACAATTATACCCTTATAGCTATTAAAATGTTTTAATTCCTAATAATAAAAAAAAAAATTCATAAAAAATACTAAAAAATTAAGAAAAACATTTCGATATTAAAATTTCAATTAATTTTTTTTTTCAAAAAATTAAAAAAATTAAAAAAAAATAAAAAAAAATAAAAACTCAAAAAAAAATCGCCGCCGCCTCTGCCGCTTCAGCACCACCACATCCAGTCACCAGGGGGAAAAAATGCCAAGTTCATTACGAATGCCATATTTATGGCAGAAAAAAATGAAAATGTTGGCATTCGAAAAGAGAAATATGCCACTTTTTGGCATTTTCAGAAATAAATGGCATTTTTCTGGAGAAATGGCATTTTTTTCATCGGTGGGAAAGGCATCCATATTTTTTTAATTTTTTTTACGGAGTTTTACTATTTTTTATTAATTTTTTTAAAAATAAAATTATTTAAAAAAAAGTTTTTGAATTTTTTATTTTATAAAAATTTTATAAATTTTTTAATTATATTTCTACGAATTTTTGAATTTTTTTCGAATTTATTATGAATTAAACATTTAATTATGGCTTTTGACTATTTTTAATTCATATTTAATGGAAGGGTAAGAATGGAATGCAAAAATAGGTATGTTTCCAATAGGACTCATATGGTCCTATTTTAGAATAAAAACATAACAAGTCCTATTTTAGGTTTTTGTCATAGTTTTAGTCCTATTTGAACTAATTTCTATTATATAAATCATGCACACAATCCCCTTGTGTTTTTTAAAAAGCATGAAAACCCCTTATATTTTGATAAATCACGTAGATAAAAATCTAACGATTGTATCTATTTTATGAATTTTCACTTATACCTCTTTTATTATGAAATAACAGCCGGCTACACCATGATTTGGAGCCCGTTTGGTAACATTAAAAGTGTTTGAATTGGTTTATTCTGCTGAAATTTATGAAATTCTGGCTGAAGTGGCTATATTGGTTGATTCTGTTGATTCATGAAAAAATTATATTTAAAATATTTTTTATTAATAAATTAAATAAAAATTATATGAAAAAGTAACTACAATGATTTTCTACAGTAACTTCAGCCAATACAATTTGCTATAGGAATTAGTCAAATTCTTGTTTTTAACTAATTTTTAAACTCCATATGCTATTCAATTTGTGGGAAGGTAAAGACATATAAGCTTGCTTATTCCAATACTTGCAAGTAGGGATAAGGGTCACATAGGGCCACGAACTTACAAAAAATGTCAAATAAGGTCTTATATAAGATGCTCTGTTCAGCCGATGCCATTTGGGGCGGTTCCCGATGGAAATTTTTGATGAATTTTTTTAAGAATCTTATTCATTAAGTCTAGTTTAGTCATACCAAATTTGAACTAAAAATAAAATCAAGAAGGCATTCAAATAAATTCTTGAAGATAACTGCTCTTTTAAATGCGCAGTTATTTTCAAGAATTCATTTGAATGCCTTCCCGATTGAATTTTAAGTTCAAATTTGATATTAGTAAACTGGACTTAATAAATAAGATGTTCAAAAAAATTCATCGAAAAATTTAACCGGTAACCACCCCAAATGGCGTCGGACGTACAAAGCATCCTAATTCCTATATATGACCTTATTTGACATTTTATTGTGTAGCACCGTCCCCAAGCATGTTTACTTTTAGTAAATGATGTAGTAAACCTTGAAAGATGATTTATGAATTTACGTAATTGTTAAATTTCATTATTCTTTTACGTGAATAGTAAATTGCATGTGGGGCCCACAGCGGGAACGGGGACCGCCTGATAATTCCCGAACCACATATTATATTCATCTTGGTCTAGATGACATCTATATGGTTGTGGATATTTTATTTGGGCCATAGAAAAGACATGAGGTTGACCGGTGGGTCAAACGAGGCCCAATTACCGGTATTGATAATTGAGCGGATAACAGCCCGAAATGAGTTTCGAAGACTCCTAAATTAATGTTGGGGAACGTACATCTATTCTAAAGGACCATAATTATGGGGAACGAGTGATATATTTTATTCGGCCCGATAAAATAAAATATGATTAAACTAGTCCGAAAAATACAACTTTCGGGGCCGATTGTACACACCGGGACATAATGGGATGACCTCCCACATAAGTGGGGGCCATCCCACGTTTTAGGGGTGCTGATTGATCAGATAACAGGGGAAGCCCCATGGAGACAAACTCACACTCACCCATTAAATTCCCTTGGACTCTTCATGAGAGTGATTGGGTTGAGAGCAAAGAAAATACTCCCCCACTCCTACTCTAATCATACGGACAACTCACACAAGAGAGGGAGAGGGAGGAAACTTGAGAAGCCCCCAAAGTATTCCTGAGCTTGAAGAACCAAAGGAAGAAGGAAATCCGGGAAGAGAGGCTAGAGTTGAGGTAAGAACTCAACTAGAAATGCTTTTAACTAGTTTTTATGGTGTATGATTTATAAGAAGTCATATGATGGATTAAACCATGGGTTCTACACGTTTAAAAGTGTAGAATATTGTTATAAAGTGGTGTTAATTAACTCAGAAGAGTTGGTGAATCGATAGGAGTCGAAATCGCCGGAAACCGCCACTCCAAAGGAGTTGTTCGTAGTTGCAGACTACGAAAGCCGCCCGGCTTTGGCCCAGAAATCCAGTTTTTCACTTTCAATCGGCCTAGAACGGGGATTGATCGAGGGGCTTAACAAAGGCAACTATTGTAGCACATCACGAGGTGAGGATGGCTGACTATATTGCTTATAATTAGTGAGTTAATTTCATAAGATTGCCTAAAGTAATTTGATGGGATTTTCATGGATTATTAATGATTAATAATGCCTAAATGAAAATAATATGGAGATGAGTAAGTGAAACATCATATACAAATTTAGAATAATTGTGTATGATTATGTGAAATGAATGGAACAGCATGTTGATGGAATTACTATGGTGACATTGTGATAAAATATACTTTACTTCATGTATGAAATTCATGAATGGATTAAAGTGATATTTTTGATATTGAGATCAAACTATACTTGGGTTGGGAAATCAATTGAAATGAAATGCCAATTGGAAAATAGGAATTTGGCATGTTCTAAGATTATACAACTAGTATCAAAATACTAGTCGGGGAACTCAATTATAATGAAATGCCAATTGGAAAATAGGAACTTGGCATGTTCTAAGATTATACAACTAGTATCAAAATACTAGTCGGGGAACTAATATAAATAAATGATGAAACGAATCCTAAGAGGTGGGATTGTGAATAGATATGCCTTAAGTAGTCTCAAGAGATACTTAAGGGTGAATTGTATGAACACTAAGGTGTGATAGGGGTAGGCCTAAAGGCCACCTATGGGAATTGATTCTAGGCATAGGATTTGCTTGAGATTTGATTATGGAAATAATTAGAGTTGGACTCTAGGACGACATGGAAATATAGTTGGGCCGAGTCCATGCCATGTAATACGATTAGCATGGAAACGTAGTTGGGCCGAGCCCTTGCCATACAAACTTTGATATGTTATATTGAGTCAGAGGATTGTATAGAAATGTAGTTGGGCCGAGCCCATGCTATACAATTGGGGCTCGATGGGACCCCACGGGGTTATCGTGACTTGTGGTCACGGGGGAATGGAAATGATGAATTCTAAACGAATATGGGCCCACGGGCCGACTACTTGACTCTGTATAAAGTAAGTACGGTTAAAAGAAAAAAGGGTAACCGGGGGTTATGGCCTATAATATAATAGTACCCTAAGTTGAGGGGCTTAGAAATTAAAACATAAATTATACTTAGTATAGTTGCTATTGTACTTGTCAAATATTTCCAAGTACTGACCTCCCCTTCACGGGGGAGGCCACCTCACAGTTTCAGGTAGAACTTGAAGGTTGCTGCCACTGCCCGTTGCTTCGGGAAGATCAAAGGAAGAAGACGTGGTTCGTGCTTCTTCCGTTTCTGTTTTGAAAACAATTTAAATAATGCTCATGGATATTGTTTTTGTTTTGAATAATTATTTGGGGGCTTGTATGCCCATGCTTGCCAAGGTGTGGCATAAACACTTGTCTTAAATGTTTCCGCTGCTGTAAATGATTATTTTACATTATGTTTGTTTATGGATGTACTATGTGTGAATGGTATTCAAGACGCCTTGTATAGTATGGATGAGTCGGACTGCGGTTGACTATTCGTACTGTACGGCGAGTTGTTGACGTGTCCGGGTGGGTCCGGGGCGTGACATATTGTAAGTTTGAGGCCCTATCTGACCATTATCCCTTGCAAGTATCTATGGGTGTGTTTATGAAATGATTTAGAGTATGTTTGGTAACACTGGAATAGGCTGAATCGGCTGTTTCTGCTGATATTTATGAAGTTCTGGGCTTCTGGTTGAAGTGACTGTATTGGCTAATTCTGTTGATTTATGAAAAAATTATATATATAATTTATTTTATTAATAAAATAAAGAAAAAATTATATTAAAAATAGCTAAATGATCCTCTACGGCAACTTCAGCCAATACAACCAGAAAAGTAATTTCAACCTTACTTTTTCTTATTATTAAACAATTCAACACGTGAAATCAAAAGTTACGTGTTTGTTTAAAAAGTTGGCTAATAAGCCCAATAAGCCTAAATATAGGCTCTTAATCCTACGAGTCTAACTAAATATGTGTCATATTAATTTTGGGTACCGCTTCTAGCTCATTTATCTGATTTAGGTTGTGTTTGTGGTTAATTTATGATTCTTTTCTTGTAATTAAGATTATGTTTTAGTGTTTATGTAATACTTTAAATAATTTATATGTCATTAGGAACACTTTTATATATTCCATGTTGGTTTACGTTGGTTGAGACTGTGTATCCACATGCAACATATTATATATTGACCTGTGTAATGACCGGGCATGCCCTAGTAGAGTTACTTTTATATGAATTAAGATGAGAAACACTCCTTCTATCCCATTTTAGTTAGTCAAATTTGATTTTTCAAGTCAATGATGTTCAGCTTTGACCGATTAAATATTTATATATAGAAGTATTGATAATATGAAAATAATCTTTGTTAAAACTACTATCATAAAAGTACACAATTATTAAATTTGACATAAATATATTAGTTAAAATAATTTGTCAATAGAATTTTTAAAGTCATTTTAAGATGTACATACTTTTGTTGCTATCACTAACGTAAAAATCTGTAAGGGAAGGATTAACTTATGTCAAGTCAAACTCATATATCATTTTTGAAGAATGATTTAGGACAGAGGAGTATATTATTGTTATTTCTTGGAGTCGTGTATATTTAAACAATAATTAAAGTAAAATGCAAGATTTTTTTATTGTGATGCTTTTGAAAGTGTTCATATTATATATAGGAAACTTATGTACCATATTTTTATAATATTTTAACACAATGATTAAACCATGAGTTGGATCATAATTTTAACACAGAATTAAACCTCCCCTATGAGAGAGTGTAGGCGACCAATAAGTTGGA